ATAATAAAAATAATAATAATTTTTAAAAAATAATAATAATATATTAAAAAATTTAAAAACAAGTCAACATTGGGCAGATATTGTGCGAACTGATCAAATCAAATTGAGTCAATTGAAGTGCCTTGATCCTCCCTACATAGTCATTTTTTTCTTTGACATGGGTGACTAAAAATGAGGAAGATGTATCATCCTATTGCTTATTTAAGTACAAATAGCTGCGAACTATACTGTTTGGTGAAAAATTATCTGCTGAGCGAGAAGACAGATGGCAAATTCAAGGCACATTGTCAAGTGCTGCATCTTACCGAAAACAATTATAATATTCTGGCCACGAGAGAATTTTTACAGAATCCACACCGAGAATTTCCATAACACAGTGCTTTACTCCAAACATAAACGAATTTGTAGCCCAAAAAATAAGCAAAAAAACCCACAGCTCTTTCAAAAAGATTAAAGAGGGAAATATTGGTATTCCTTGAGTTCTTAAGAAACTTTTGCCTGTTTTAATTTATCTCATGGTGTAATATAGAATTGAATTTTCCACAGGGTGTGTTTACTCTGTTCGGCCCGCTACCTTAATTGTAAACTGAACTTGGTTCCATGAACGATTTACTTTGACACCCCCCCCCCTCCCTGAGCAAAGCTGTCAGAATCTGCCTGGGGTTACTTGTCTCAAAAACTGTTCATCATCATCCAGTGCCAGATCTGCGACAGACATCGGCAATCATGGTTCTCCATTCATTCCTTTGCTCGGATGCACTAAAAAAAAGCTACGTTTCCCTGATCTTTCCCTGTTACCCATTTGTTTAGGTTCCCTAGGTAGGTTGTTCTGGGCCTACCCCTACCTCGTTTGCCTTCAAATTTGCCAGTGAGAGCTAGATGTTCAAGACCCTTATGTCTCTATTCAGGTGTCCCAAAAACTGAATTTGTCGTTTCCTGATTGTTTTCAACATTGAGCGTTCCACGTGGGTTTCATCCAGCACTACCTCTTTTGATTTCTTTTCCTTCCACGATACTCTTAGCAGTCTCCTAAGTTTACGGTTATACATTTTTTAAATTTCCCAGCGAACTGCGGCTGATCTTCCCTAGCGAGGACAATATGAACAACTTCATGGAGCTGTACGTGGACATATCTGTGAACGGCACCACGCTCAATGTAGTGCATAGTGGGGAGGTGCGAAGTAAGTAAGTTGTCTACTAAGTTGTCCATCCGGCTACATTTATAAACGTTCTTTGTTCATTGTTTTTATTTCTATTCCATTGGGGGGGGGGGGGGGGGGGGGGT